GCCATGGAGACCAATCCCCGCCCACCGCCCAGGCCACACCCCATTGGACGGGTACCCCCGCTGGCCCCGCCCCTCCGCTGGCCCCGCCCACACCCCGGGTGCCTCCTCCCCCTTTATCCCCCCCAGACCCCCCCGGCCCCCGGAACGTTCCATAAAAACGGGTTTATTGACGTCTCGGTTCACTCCCGCTGTCCCCGCGGCAGAGCCACGGCACGGACACCGCCCCTTCCCTGGGGGGGTCCCCCGTGCCCCCCCTCCGGCCCTCAGCCGGGGTTCGGCCGTCCCGGAGCCACCGGAGCCGCGACGCTCCCGCGCCAGGCCGGAATCCTGTGGGGGTCCCTCCCGATGGGACCTCCGGTGCATCCCGGCACTCCCCGGTGCTCAGGATGCGGCACTGGCAAACACCAGGTCCCCAGGCACAGCCTGGCACATCGCAGTGCCCGGGACTCACCGCCGGCAGTGGCTGCAGCCACCGGCATGTCCTGGCACATCCTGGCACATCCCGGTGCTCGAGGTGCGGGGCTGGAAGCCGTCGAAGTCCTTGGCACCTCCTGACACATCCCAGTGGAGGGTGCCAAGGATGCAGCGCTGGCAGTCACGGGGAACCAGGCACATCCCAGTGCTCAGGTTGCACCACTGGCAGCTACCAGGTCCCTGGCACATCCCAGTGCCAGGACTCAGCACTGGCAGCCCTCAGAGCCCCTGCCATCTCCCAGCACATCCTGGTACTCAGGGTGCGCTGCTGGAAGCCACAGAAGCTCCTGGCACGTCCTGGCACATCGCAGTGCCCAGGATTCAGCACTTGGCATCTGCTGGAGACTCTGGCACCTCCTGGTACCAAGGACACATCACCGGCAGCCGTAAGGACCCCTGGCACATCCCAGTGCTCGGGATGCACTACTGGCAGCCACTGGAACCCCTGGCACCTCCCAGCACATCCCAGTGCTCAGGATGTGGCACCGGCAGCCACCAGGCCCCCTGGCACATCCTGGCACTCAGGGGCAGAGAGTGGGGGGCTCTGGCCAGCCCAGCTGGGGCCCGGCGATGCCAGTGCCAGTCCCTGTGCCCATCCCAGTGCTGGCGGCGGTGCCAGTCCCCGTGCCAGCGGTGTCCGTCCCGGCGCCGGCGCGGCTGTGGGTGCGCTCGTGGCGCTCCAGGTGAGTCTTGCGGGTGAAGCCGCGGCCGCAGCGGGCGCAGTGGTGGGGCCGCAGCCCTGTGTGCACGGCCTCGTGCCGGCCCAAGTTGGTCTTGGAGCTGAAGCGGCGCCCGCAGCGGGCACAGGCGTGGGGCCGGGTGCCCGTGTGCACCAGCAGGTGCCGCGCCAGGTGCGCCTTGCGCCCGAAACCGCGCCCGCACTGCGGGCAGGAGAAGGGGCGCTGGGCGGGGGGCGCCTGCGGGGTGGGCTGGGGGTCCTGGGCGAAGGGGCGCTGGGCGGGGGGCACCTGGGACACGTGGTGGGTGAAGGGGTGCTCAGTGCCGGGCACCTGCGACAGGCACTGGGGGTCCTGGACACCGGGCACCTGTGGGGGCTGCAGGAGGTGCTGGGGGTCCCGGGCACTGGGCGCCTGTGCCGGGTACTGGGGGTCCTGGGTGCAGCCATGGCCACACTTGGCACCGGGCACCTGTGGCGGGTGCTCGGGGTCCCGGGCACTGGGTGCCTGCAGTGGGTGCTGGGGGTCCTGGGCGCAGCCGTGGCCGCACTCGGCACAGCCCAGGGGTCGGTTCTCCAGGTGGTGCCACAGGTGTGGCGCCGGGCTCTGCTTCCAGCTGAGGCTCGTCCCGCCCGGGGGGCAAGGGAGGGGCTTCTCCTCGGCAGGGCCATCCCCGTCCCCGTCCTCATCCCGGTGCCCATCCAAGTGTCCGTTCCCGGCCCCCGGCCCCGCGTGCAGCCGCGGGTGCGAAGCCGGGCTCTGCTTCCAGGTGAGGCTCGTCTCACAGCCCGGGCAGGGCGGCGGCTTCTCCTCGGGGGGCACCTCCCCGTGCCCGTCCCGGTGTCCCTGGGCGGGCTCCCCGTGCAGGCGCAGGTGGCGCAGGAGGTGCTGGCGGTGGGCGAAGCGGCGGGCGCAGCGCGGGCAGGGGTGCGGCCGCTCCCCGGTGTGGGTGCGCAGGTGCCGGTCCAGGTGGGTTTTCTTGCGGAAGCGGCGGGCGCAGCGCGGGCAGGGGTAGGGCCGCTCCCCGGTGTGCGTGCGCAGGTGGGAGCGCAGGTGGATGCGCTGGCGGAAGCGGCGCCCGCAGTGGGGGCAGGGGAAGGGGCGCTCGCCCGTGTGCACCCGCAGGTGCCGCGTCAGGTGAGCCTTCTTCCCGAAGGCCTTCCCGCACTGGGAGCAGGAGAAGGGCCGCGGGGCGGGCTGGGAGCGGCGCTCGTGCCCCCGGGGAACGGGGCTCATCCCGGGGCACATCCCCATCCCGGGGCCCATCTCGATCCTGGCGCCGAAGCCGATCCCGATCTCGGAGCCATCCAGGCGCTGCCCCAGCCCCCAGGGTGGCAGCACCCCATACCCCAGCTCCTCCGGGCACGGCTCCTCCGCTTTGCAGGCACCGGCGATTCCCGGCGTCCCGGCGGGATCAGAGGGGATGGTGCCAGGAAGGGGCTGTGGAGCCAGTGGGGCCTCGGCTCCGGCTGCCCAGGCCTCATCCTCCTCCTCCTCCTCCTCCACCTTCACCTTCCGCACCAGCCAGTGCCCTGCGGGGACACGGTGGGGAGACGTGCCAGGGATGGGATGTCCCAGCACGGCCACCAGCACTGGGACACGGCGACTGTCACCCCAAGGACTCAGAGCTGCCACTGGCCCACGGACACAGTGACTGTCACCCAAGCACCTGGAGCTGCCACCGGCCCTGGGACACAGTGACCATCAAGGCCAGTGGCACCAGGGACACAGTGACCACCACCCAAGGACCCAGCACTGCCACCAGCCCCAGGACAGGGTGACAGTGACCCTGTGGCCCCAGTGTTCCCAGGGGACCCCCGGCAGTGCCGGTGTCACAGCCGTGTTCCTCACCTGAGCTGTGGAGCTCCGGGTCCTCCAGACTGTCCCCATCACCTTCAGGGGTCACCTCCACCTTGGGGACCACCGGCCACACTGGGGGGACAAGGGGCACAGCCAGGTCTCCCCCCTGCTCCAGGGTGGCCCCAAGTACCCCGGGACCACCCTGGTGCCCACCTGACACCCCCCAGGACCCCCGTGCCCACCTGAGCTGGCACATCCTGGTGCCTCCATCTCCTCCAGCTCCACCTTGGCCACGGCGGGACCTGCGGGGGGTGGGGGTAGCACCGGGTGAGCCCCCTAGACCCGAACTGGGGATCCCCCTGAACCCCCCTCAGGGGGTTGGGATCCCCCGGACGCCCAGGACCCCCAGCACGTACCCAGGGCACAGTGGGGGTCGACGCTGTCCTGCATGGTGGGTCCAGGGGGTTCGAGGAGGGTTTGGGGGGGTTCGGGGGGTCCCGTGGGGTGCGGGGGTCCGGCGCTCAGCGGGGCTGGGGGTGGGCAAGAGCCGCGGGGTCGCTTGGGGGGCCGGGGGTCCCGGGGAGCCCCCAGCCAAGGGATGGTGATCCGGGGGCGTGCAGGGGGTCCCCGCCAGCCCTGACCCCTCCCAGCGAAGAGGGGAAGTCTCGGGCCCCCCTGCCCCGGGGACACGCCCCGGGGGTCCCCCACCGGGGGGGTTTCCCCGTCCTAGTTCCCCCCAGCAGCTCACAGCCCCCCCGCCCCTTCTCAGACCCTCGCGGCCCCCCCGGAACC